ACTAATCAGTCAATCAGTCTGTCTCAGAAGTTTAAATCTTTCTGTGTCCAAGTAACTGGGGAGGCAGGAAAATTTTCACTGGAAAGATGTCCCTTTCAGATCAATTTTGAAGTTTTTCTCTAATACTTAAGAATCTAAAAAAAAAAAACAAAAAAACAAAAAAACAGAATCTATGGATCCTGAAATATTTGAAGAGAAAATATTTGATGAAAATAGCTGAAAATATCTCTAATATAGGAAGTGAAATAGTCAATCAAGTCCAGGAAGCGAAGCAAGTCCCAGGCAGGATAAACCCAGGGAAGAACCTACCAAGACATATATAATCGAACTGACAAAAATTAAAGACAAAGATAAAATATTAAAATCAACAAGGGGAAAAATGACAAATATCATGCAAGGGAACTTCCTTCAGGGTATCAGCTGATTTCTCAACAGAAACTATACAAGTCAGAAGGGAATGGCACAATACATTTAAAATGATGAAAGAGAAGAAACTACAACCAAGAATACTTTACCCAGCTAGACTCTCATTCATATTTGATGGAGAAATCAAAAGCTGTCCAGACAAGTAAAAGTCAAGAGAATTCAGCACCACCTAACCAACTTTACAACAAATGCTAAAGGAATTTCTCTAGGCAGGAAACTCAAGAGAATGAAAAGACCTATGGAAAATAAACACAAAACAATTAAGAAAATGGTAATAGAATCGTACATATCAATAATTACCTTAAATGTAAATAGATTAAAGGCACCGACCAAAAGTCACAGACTGGCTGAGCAGATGAAAACATGTGCATGCATGCACTTCCACTTATCACATCACTCTGCTTACCCCCTCCCCCAAATTATATGTAATTATTTTATATTAAGTTAATCATGTTCCCATTATGGCTTGCAATTGTAATTTTGTTTTTTGTCTGGCTATTGATTGTGAAACCTAAACATCTTTTACTATTGTGATTATGTAAGTATTACTCAGTTAATACCATTGTGTCATGATTGGTCAACAGAAAAATAGAACTCTATATCACCAAAACTACAGTTTAACAGAAAGACCTCTTATAACTTTTCAAAATCCAGATGAATATCAGAATTATCTCGGAATTTTTTGAAAAATACAAATGCTCAGGTATTACTTTTCTTTTTTTCAGAGCTCCAGATGTGTTTCTAATGAGCAGCCATGCTTAAAAATAACTGGACTGTATGATGATCTTATACTTTTGTATAGTTTGCTTCATTTTTTCTATTTCATATTTAGAGCTCCCATTTCATTTAATTTATGTTTTCCAATTACTCCATCTCTTGGTTTTTGTTCAGTGTTCTTTCTCAAACCTTTATCAAGGGTAGTAGAAAAACTTCTGTATACATATATATAAATAATGTACATTAACATATAATTTAGAAAGCATGAATTTTTGCCTAATTAAAAAATTAATGACATTTTGATTCCACTTGTTTGACTTGGCATGAATAGAATGCTAGATTTCTAATAAAAAAATAGATATGCAACAAGCAACAAGGTTTACTGTATAGCACAGGGAATTGTAGTAAATATCTGTAATAATCTATAATGAAAAATATTTCAAAAATAATATATATGTATATGTATGACTGAATCACCTTGCTGTGTACATGAAGCACTGTAAGTCCATTATACTTCAATAAGATATATATATTAAGAAAAAAAGGAATCTATGGATCCTGGACAAGACTAAGCCAAGCAATGTTACTAAGCTAAAAGGGAGTCCATGAATTCACTTTCAAGTTTGGCATAATGTGGGATGTGTTAGTGTGTAGTTGTGTGCGACTCTTTGGACCCCATGGACTGTAGCCCACCAGGCTCCTCTGTCCATGGGATTCTCCACGCAAGAATACTGGAGTGGGTTGCCATTTCCTTCTCTAGGGAAACTTCTAGACCCAGGGATTGAACCCAGGTCTCCTACATCACAGGCAGATTCTTTACCATCTGAACCATGAAGGAAGCCCTAAGTTGGGGTGGGTGATGACAATTTGGGTGGTGAAGAGGTAGTGTAGAGCTATTATACGTGCAAACAGTAGTCATTCAATAAGTACTTGTTAAAAAAAAATGAATGAGTGCATACATAAATAAGTAGATCAAAATATACTGGTCATTTTCAGATCTACTGTTAACAGCACTTGGTTAAAATCACAACATTAAAAACAAAAAGTAATACCACAGGCTATTCATTTGCTTCAATTTCTTTTGTTTAGTGTAACATCTTGCTCAAAACCCAGAAATATCAAAATTAAAATCCCCAAATAAATGAGTAATATTTAGTGAGAGTTTATGTGGATATAAAAACAGTTCACAAACAGGGAGCTTCCACATTCAAAGATGGCTGTGAAGCTTGGGGACGTGAATTTACGGAATGGCTTACTAGGAAAAATGAGGACGCTATTAATTTTTACCATGATTGGTTATTACAGTGGAAGTTTCTCATGCCATTTTTAGGAAGATGACTATATTTCTTTTAAGATTGTCAGAGCCATTTACAAAAAAAAAAAATCTAGGTTAAATTTCACTTACATTTATGAAATAAGCAGGATTTAGTTTTTCTTACATGGTTTAAATGTTGTCTGCTCAGGAAATTCTCAAATTCATACTCCATTTGTATTTAATGTTAATACTCTTAGATACTGTGACCACCACTCAGACTGTATAAGACTGCACACAGTAGCTGCCCTCAGGCAACCATTAGATACCATCTCACTTTGGACACCTGCCTTGTACTTCAGTGGAAGGTCCTCTGTTGTCCTCAGGCTTAGAAATCTTAATTCTGGACCCCAGGTGTATGTTTTTCCTGCTTTTGGTGTAAACTGTAAGATATTTTTTGTATTTATTTTTGTAGGCAACTTAAGGGAATCAGAGGTAAATTTTTACCTTTTCATTGCTACCCTTTCACTCTGCTCTTCACCAATAAAGACAGGACCTTGTCTTCCGAGCATCTTGATTGGAGTAACTGAGATTCAGAAATGATTTGTTTTCACTCAGGTTTTTGCTTTGGCAACATGGACTTTTGAGAGAGGATCTGAACATGGGTCTCTTGCATTGCAGGCAGATTCTTTATCATCTGAGCCACTAGGGGAGCCCAAGAAAACCAGACTGTGTTTTATAGTATCAGTACGGAACAAAAATTAAGTCCTGAGGGCCCCTTTTCCTGGCCATCATCTTCAGTCCCAGTGAGTCTGTCAGTACCTTTAACCAAGTTTTAGCCAAGTAGGAGAGACTAATGGTGATGGTAACAACAGTACACGAGCACACATTCACTTTTCCAGTGTCTGACTCCCTGAAACGGGGGCTGGAGTTTCCAGAATCTCCCTTTCTATGGTGTGTCTCCATTCTCAGGGCAGGTCTCTCTGTGAATGTACACCAAGGTACTGTGGCCACTCACACTGATCCATTTGGTATTCTAAGACTACCTACACTACCTCTCTGTTACTACTACCTCACTGTCAGTGCTATATTTGTTGTATGAGAGAATTACCTACTCATTATGCCCATACATAAAATTTGCTCATGCCAGTGAATCTAGAGTATGTTGTATAAACTGAATGTTGAGTGTCCAGCTCAAAGCTTACAAAGAACAAACAATGATGCAATGTCATCATGTACAGGCAGTTAATGTGTGAATGCTGTTGTCTGTGGTTGTTACACGAAAAGTGAATTAGATTATACTATGTACTGGATTCTAGGAATATTGTTCAAACTTCCTTACTTTGGAATTTTTTATCCTTGATTTTATAATTAGGTAGTGATAGTCTTGGATGAAGTCTATTTTGATTTATTTCCAGGAAAAAAGAATGTTTTATTACTCATTTTGTGTCTTCTTATCTATGTAAATAAGATGACTTAGTGAAAACTTCTCCTTACACTCAAAATGTAGATGATATATATCCACAAATTTGGAATATTTTTCCTGAGTGGAGAAAACCAAGAATTATCCTGAGAGCCAATGTATTGATTACAGTCCAAATATTTCTCCAGCGAATGCTAAATGTATTGATAAAACTTGCCAAATGTATATAAAGAGGACATAGGATATGACATTTTAAGACAAACATCTCTGAACTTTTGGTGAAAAAATGGCAAGTTACTTGCTGACATAGCAATGCTTTATTTGGTAATAGGAAAGACCAAAATATAGATGGATATTATAAAATATTACAAAAGGAGAAGGAAGTTCTACTGTTAATGAGCCTACTACAAAAAGTTATTTTGACTTGGCCTGAAGCTGGGGCATAATTCCTGAAGTTTTATTTGAATCATGAAGATTGGTTACTGAAAGTAGTAGAGGAGAAGAGCTACTGAAAAGAAGGTCACATACCATTGGCCAATGTAATTTTCAGCCTCAAAAATTCCTGTGGCATAAGATAATTTTGCTCAGAATAGAAACTATTTATTATATTTAATTCTGGGATTTGGGTCCCAGAATGAAATATAAAAAAGACAGTGATTGTTAACACACATGCACACTCAGAAAATTTAACATGGAATTAAAAAACCAGGTAAGAAGAATGAGGTAAGAAAGAAGGGCCATTGAGATGTTGGGAAGAGATAATGAAAAAATGCCAGGGGTGAGAAGGCAAGGGAGAGGGAGAACAAGATAGGAAGAGAAGCCAAAGGTATTCTAGATTAAAGAGACTAGAAGCTGAGCAATTGTTTAATATTATCCTCTTATTTCAAAGATGTGGAAATAAGAATTGGGAAGGTGAAATATCCTTTCATCATCATTTACTACCTTGGAAAAACGCTTTTCCAAGGTAGTAAGTATAAAGGAGACTGAGTTCAAGGAATGGAAATGAGAGGCAGGGTGGGAATCTAAAGCTGTGGGAGGTACAGTTTTTCTGAGATATGCAATTTGGGTCAGATTTTTCAGCTGGGAAGAGAGGAAGTCACTTTAGAGTACTGAGAAAAAGCTTTGCTGAAATAAGAGATTAAATACCAGCTCTGAGAGTCAGAAGTTCTACGTCCCAGTGAAATGCTGCTTCTACCTCTTCTATTGCTAGCGCTTATCCTCCCAGGTGGTGACAATGAAGATGGTAAGTGTAACTGGCTGCTCCCAGCAGAGGTGCTGGGCTTCTGGATAAAAGCATGCCCTTCAATTATGGGTGGAGAGGGAGGTGGCAGGGGGGATCGGGATGGGGAATACATGTAAATCCATGGCTGATTCATGTCAATGTATGACAAAAACCACTACAATATTGTAAAGTAATTGACCTCCAACTAATAAAAATAAATGAAAAAAAAAAAAAGCATGCCGCACCTACCGCTAAGGGTCTGGGCTCTGATGTCCCCAGCCCTCTCCTCCATTCTGGGGGTGGAGCCAGAAGCCTTGTGGGGAGAACTGTTTCAGGCTCTATATTGTTCAGACTCTGGGTTCTTTTTCGTTCCATCCTGATTCTACATTTTTCCTCATTCTTTTCAACCTTCCACCAACACAGTGTTCCAGTGGCCAACCTTCTACCATATCATCCATATTTGGACCTTTGCCAACAGCTCCTGGGCTCCAAACCAAGGCTCAGGCTTGTTGGATGATTTGCAAATTCAAGGCTGGAAGAGTGACTTGGGCACTACCATTTCCCTGAAGCCCTGGTCCAAGGGGAACTTTAGTGATGAAGAGATGACTGGACTGCAGGACCTATTCCGAGTATATTTCATTGGATTCACTCGGGTTGTGCAGGACCATGTCAGTGAGTTCTAGTTGGAATGTGAGTACAGTCCTCTGACCTGGAGAGACTCTTAATGACTTTTCTCTTTCTTGGTCAGGCTACTGTTCCCGCTGATCATGATCCACTCCTTCCCTCAACTGCATGCACACAGCTCTCCAGAGTAGTCTCCAACCCTGACTCCTTACCTCCACCCAGTATCCCAGATTCTTCCTGTTTCTTGCAGTTTTGTGTAGTAGATGATGTTCCTGCTTTGTACCATTTCCTGTTTTGCGTGTATGTCACTTGTCACACTCAAAACCTAGGAAAAACTCCTTTTCCTACTGTGTGCCTGAATGAACTAAAGTATGACTTCCCCATCCTCCAATTCATATCCACAAGCATCTGCTGCCTAATCTCCTCTCCCAGCATGACCCTCCCCTTCACCCTGGAATGCTGCCCTCCTGACTCCATCACACACTGCTCCTCTTCTCCCCTCTTACCCACTGTACATCCTTAAAAGGACCCATCCCCACTGTTTACGATAGGCATATCTCTAACCAATGCTCTTCTTCCTGAAAAGTCCTGAATACTGCAATTGGTTTTTGAGTTATAATTTCATATCTCAGACCTTTCTTGCCACTAAAATCCAAAGGCCTATGCCTTTTCCTCATCCTTTTCTTCGTTGTTTGCATTTTAATAACTTGTCTCTGTTTTCCTTTACACAGACCCTTTTGTGATCCAAGTCACAGCAGGCTGTGAGCTGCATTCTGGGGAGGCTATAGGAAGCTCTTTGAGAGGAGCTTTAGGAGGAATGGACTTTGTGAGGATCCAGAATCATTCCTCTGTACGTGCACCAGCTAGTGGCAGCAGGGGGCAGAAGTTTTGTGTACTCACAACTCAATATCCAGGCATATCTGATATCATTGAGAGGCTCCTCTCAGAAATCTGTCCTCGATATCTCCTGGGTGTTCTTGATGCAGGGAAGGCAGAACTGCAGAAGCAAGGTTAGTCTTGTTCTCTCCCCAAGACTTTTCTATTTTACCGCCCAGCACCTTCTTTATTTTATTTTTTTTTCCCAGCACCTTCTTTAAATTCAAAAGGGGAAAATACCTAAGTTGAGAGGTGTTTAATCAATAAATGAGCTGATTCCCATAGGAGTTGAAGAGGCAACTGTCCAAATCTGTGGGTTTCTGAGTCCCCATGCTCTGGATTAGAGTCGTAATCTGACATTCTTACTGCTGCTTCCTACACCAGTGAAGCTGGAGGCCTGGCTGTCCAGTGCCCCCCCCCCCCCCAGGCCTGGCAGTCTGCGGCTGGTCTGCCATGTCTCAGGATTCTACCCAAAACCTGTGTGGGTGACGTGGGTGAGGGGTGAGCAGGAGCAGCCTGGCACTCAGCAAGGAGACGTCATGCCCAATGCAGACTGGACGTGGTATCTCCGGGTAACCCTGGATGTGGCGGCTGGGGAGGTGGCTGGCCTGAGCTGCCGAGTGAAGCACAGCAGTCTCGGAGACCAGGATGTCATCCTGTACTGGGGTGAGGAGGAAGTGGGAATGGGCGGGGGGGGGAGGTGGTCATCAAGCCCAGAGGGCAGTCCTGAGGAAGGGGAGAGACTTGATGGATGAGCTATGGAGGGAGGGAAGGAGAGGGGGAAGAAAGAGTGACAGAGGGAGAGGTAGGAAGGGAGAGACAAAGAAAGAGAGACAGAGTTTGAGGTTTATTCCTGGGACTACAGTGCCAGAGGCATGAAAATAGCTGATCTGAGACAGGCAATAGGTAAGAATGAAGGACTATAAACTGGGTGGGATTGGGCCAGAAGAACAGACTGAGGGTGGCTGTGAGAATATGACATCTGGGAATATGAGAAAGGGAATCAGAGATGTCCAATCATCAAAAGCAGGTAACAGTGTGTGTTGACACTCCGGTGGGCAAGAAGGCCTGGAGAACTAGAGAATGGGTTTGAAGTGATATCCCTTTGTCTTCTCCCAATTGCCAGGACACCCTGCATCCATTGGCTTGATACTTGTGGCAATAATAGTGCCCTCCTTGATCCTTTAGATATGTCTGGCAATATGGTTTTGGAGACGCTGGTGAGTTTTCATCTTTTAATCTTTCTTTTCTGTCCATCCTTTTATTCTTTCCCTCCATTTTATCTATTAATATTATGCCCTTTTAGCCTCAATATTTCCACTAGAAGCTTTCCCCAACTCCCATCTATAGGTAAATTTATTTTTTAAAAATTGCAGTAAATTATATCATGGAAAATTTACTGCACTAGCCATTTTTACACATATAGTTTAGTAGTCCTAGCTACATTCACATTTTATGCAGCCAGTCTTTAGAACTCTTTTCATCTTGAAAAACTAAAAGTCTAGGCCCATTAAACCACTTTCCCTAATCCTTGCTCCCTCAGACCCTGGCAACCACCATTCTACTTTCTGTCTATATGAACCTCTATACTCTAGGTACTGCTAGAAGTGGAATTATTTGCATTTTTGTGAATGGTTATTACATTTAGCATTATGTCCTCATAATTCATTCATGTGGTGATCTGTATTAAAATTTCTTTCCTTTTAAGTGTTTTGTTTACCTGTTCATCTCTCAACAGACACTTGGGTTAATTCAACAGTCACTTTTGCCTATTGTGAATAAGGCTGCTATGAACATAGTATACAAATATCACTTAAGAAGAGCAATTTTTTGCTGTGTTCTTAACAGGTCATATCAGAATATCTCATGAGCCCTGAATGTCTCCTTTTCCATTTGGAATAAGTATCCAGGAACCCTGAAACTCAAGTTGTCAGCCTAGGAGTCAATCTCATCATATTTCATCAAAGGATCATCACATTTGATCAGATCATTGCTGTTGTAGGTTGTAAGATAAATCATAATTTATACCCTGGCAGAAACATAAATGAAAGTTGTTATTATGAGACAATATCACTAGCAGGATCCACTCAGATTTCATAGATGTGATTTGTGAGAAAGGATATACCTTGGAATAAATGAAATGATGTACACAACTTCATGGTGACATTCCTTTGATTTCTTATTTAAAACTTTTTTTTGCTTCTGCTGAAATATCATTTTTAAAATTGAACTAACTGTAATTATGCTGACATAATTGTATTTGCAGAGTTGCTGAGCACTTTTAACAAAGTTTCTCCATCTTGGCCTGGATGATTTTCTAACTATAATGGTTAGCTGAGCAGCTTGTTTCTCCAGAAAGCCTTCCTTAATGCTACAGTGGAAGTAACCTCCCTTGACTGGTATCTTGCATAGATCCACTTTACTTGTACCCAGAACACTACAGTTCTTATTGTTTTTCTTTTCTTTCTACTTATAAGTTCCTTGAGAGAAGAGCTTGCTCTTGGTGGATCTCTGGCCCAAATCATATTTTTGTGTGTAGTGTTTTTATTGTTATTCTAAAGCTATCTTGTGTGTATAGGCTAGTGAGATATGGTGTATAGTGAGACAGGTGGACAATATGGAATATAGCATATAGTGGGTTTAAGTGAGTACATAATTGTGTTGATTCACAGGAAACTAGAATTTTTCTATGTGGAAAAGTTGATGTGAGTAAATGAGTAAAACTCTGTAGTTTTAAACTTGAATTGCAAGTATAAATAAAAAAATCCTAATATTAAGACTTAAAAAAGGTCCTGGCCACTTAAAAAAACCCTAAAATGAAGGCTTAGAACTCAGATTAAGGCTTTCACATATTTTCCCACTACAAGGAACCAAAGTACCTTGGAGAAATGACTGATTTCTAGTTTGGCGCAGGAAGTTTCTCCAAGAGTCTGGAACAACTTTGCCATACCAGAAGGTAAAGGGAAGCTCAATGATAAATATATGATAAAAGGATTCATATGTGACTGGGTTGAAAAAACTCCCATGTCATAATTGGGACAGTTTGCGTCTCAAGAGAAACAATGGTAGGATTTGATGCTGTTGTTTAACAGCTAAGTTGTGTTGAATCTTTGTGACCCCATGGACTGCAGCATGCCAGACTTCAGTGTCCTTCACTGTCTCCTTGAGATTGCTCAAATTCATGTCCATTGAATCAGTGAAGCTATCTAACCATTTCATCCTCTGCCACTCCCTTCCCCTTTTGCCTTCCATCTTTCCCAGCATCAGAGTCTTTTCCAGTTCATCAGCTCCTTGCATCAGGTGGCCAAAGTGCTGGAGCTTCAGCTTCATCATCATTCTATCCAATGAATATTCGGGGTTGATTTACTTTAAGACTGACTGGTTTGACCTCCTTGCTGTCCAAGGAACTCTCAAGAATCTTATTCAGCCCTTCAGTTAGAAAACATCAATTCTTTGTCACTCAACCTTCTGAACAGTCCAACTCATACATCCATACATTGTTGTTGTTCAGTCTCTCAGTC